ATCAACAATTATTTCTGTTATAGAAATCGAAGAATTGAACAAATTTGTTAAATATCAACTCTTTACGGCAGAACAACTTCTTCAGCCCAATGCATTGAACGTCCAAAACGACTTTAAAGAGGGTTGGCACACAAATCATCCTCACCGTACCATCATTTCACCTGCAGATGAAGAGGAATGTATTTGTCATATCTGCATCGGAAAACAGCCAAACGATCCATGGTCATTGCAAGACGCCTTAGAATATGGATGCCGTTTATGGCTTGATAAGCGCATGACATTAAGCCCATGGAACATTGGTCTTGATCCAATGTTATTTCATCTCATTGAAAAACAACAACAACGCCAAGCATGGATTCTTTATGCCATCAAGGATTGTTTAGCAGTTGAACTACTCATGAAAGCCACGGCAAATCATCCCAAACCACATCTAATGCAACCATCCGTTCGAGTTCCTTGTGAGCCACCATCCGAAGACGAATCCGATATCGAAGCAGCTACACCGCTTACACCTATTCTTCCCACTATCCGTTTCTCAACACCAACAGTTGATCCTCTTGTATCACCTCCATTCCCACTGTCTGTACCATTACAAATTCAACCTCAACATCCACCATCGCCACAACAAGAACCCAATCACATCGATCAGACAACTATCTACGAACCAACCTCAGATGACGCAACACCTTCGATAAGTGATAAATCACCACCACCGTCACAATTTGCCATCATTATTCCTGAAGAATATCCTTTTCTGATTTCATCCTCACTGCCGGCATCATCATTTGACAATACTCAACAGCCGATCAGCGAGCCACATCTAACATCAGCTGTTATCCAGCGGCTTAAACCCCAACTATCTGAGTTACAAAAGAAGAGAAAGAATCGTCAAAAAACTTTGAAACAACGCGCTCGAAAATTTGCAACAGAAATTATCCGCCGTCATATTTACAAATTGTGGTCGGCGAAAAAAATCATTGAAGTGTTACAGAGAAAAGGAATTCCGCACTCCAGAGTCCTCCCACGAGTATCACCAACAACCGGCACACATCACGTATTTATTGGTCTTCAGAAATCGGACGATTCCCAGCGCTGGGATAAATTAACAAGTGATTGGTTTACCGAGGCACATTACAATAAAGTCTACCTCCCTCATCGTCGAACATCAACATCAAGAGATCGGTCTGATAGACCAGATCGTTCAGCTCATCCAGAAGCATTTGATCCTCGTTCAACACCAACAGATCGATCATTCAGATCTGATCATTCCCATAAATCAACACCAGCAAATCCCGGTGAACGAACAAGAACAGTAACTGGTAGTCATCGTCAACGGTACAAGTATCATCACAAATCCCGGTGAACTAAGAAAGGAAAGAACAGTGAACAACTATCTATTGAAAATTTGGATAAAACAAATTTTTTTCTCGGGGGGAGGACTGTTACAGGCCTAGCCTTATACATAACGCGTAATCAAGATCTAAGCGTATATTATTGCATTATCTCGTCACATGTTTAGCCGCGTGACTTCTAGGTCCTACATGTGTTATTGAAGAATTATTTTCTTCCTTCGTCCAGTCCCTTGTTTTCTACATTTATTCGTTTTCTCCCTCGTTCATATATGTCTATGGTTCTTTTCCGTTGTTCTCTGTTTTATCCATAGATATACAAATAGTGCATGTTTCTTATTTTTAGTAGCACTTCTAGACGCCATCGCGTATTGTGCAGATTAGTTTTGTGTTGTCCATTTCATCTCTTTCTTTTTTAAGTTTGTTTCAGTAAAAGGAGATTCCGCTTTCAGCAACAATCGGTTTCTTTAATATCAGCTTCAATTTAGTGAAACCATCGCTCACACACACTCAGTAGTCACTATATATATCCACGTCCGTCAGATCCACTGGTAACTGTATTCATGTACGTCTGCCACACCCACTCGTCACTATATGTAAGTACGTCCGTCACACTCACTGGTCACTATATGTATGCACATCCGTCACCGTGTATGCTTACGACACACACACACTAACACTCTGACTTTTTCCTATGATCATAGACCTACAACCAATGGAATAAAAGAAAACTGTTTTTTATAGCGTTGTAGTTGTCAGCTACTGGGCTTGTCCAAGCGTTTTTGACACATTTTTGACACAGTAAATTGAGCTTTTCTCAAAAATGGTATGAGCTAGAAACTTCATTCTTGGGCCATTCGACGCAGCTCACCATACTCTACTTTCCATATAAAAACGAAGGTATTTGGTAAAAGACTCGAGTTTTTAGAACCGTTTGTCGGTGCGTGACGCTGTGACAAAAAAAGGCCCTAAATTCTTCTCAGTAAAAGCTAATTTGCTCCGAATTTAGAAGACCTAATAAAAAGCGTCTGTTGATACCTAAGGACATTAGACACATATTCAGTTCAATTGTACTTACAATTGATTGACCAAGTGTGCCCCATAAAAGACTGGCGAAAATTGTTATCGAAACAGTCGACTTTTTATTTAAACATATTTTTCAGATTAAATTACGAAATTCGGAGATACGTAAAATACAAGCAGATTTAAATAATATTGAACGTAATCAACAAGATTTACTCAAACGAATAAAAATGTAATCGTATCTTAAACAATTGTCGGTTGGTCGTTATATTTGAAAACAAGAAAATAGGAGTTTTTGCCAGATTATAATTCTACAATCTTCATCCATCTAAGATGTCAAAAGTATCATAAGCTCTTCAAATTTATTTGATGATGCGATGATAAGTTCTTGGAGATCAATGGTAGTCGGATGTCTGTTGTTCTGAAGTTTTTATTAAATTTTGTTACTTTGTCAAGTAGAAATACTAATGAGACGTTTTACATTTTTAGCTTTATGCACGTGTGCTTTGACAAAGTTCTATCATTAACCTATAGTACAACAAAAATAGATTGCAGAGCTAAAGTTTAGTGTATTTATGTGAGTACGTGTTGAACCAAATTTTCTAAATGTACTTTCTATAACAGAAATAATTGTTGATATGGGGTGAC